AGAAAAACAGTAACTAAAAAAAAGGTTTGCAAAGAACTATTCAAATAGCTCATAAAAACACACAAAAAACCCACATACCTCAGCATCTGCTGTGGAAGATGCGACAACTTCTCCAGCAACTGCTGCCTGCACAAAAAAATGACCACTGATGTCAACTATGAAAAGATGCCAACTAGTGAACTACAAGATGCCAACTAATGCCAACTAATGTCAACTGTATTTGAATCAAAATGACTAGAGATGTCAACTACAAAAATGTTGTTATTGATAGACTAAAAACAAAAAATAGTGTTCCGAACTGCTGCATAATTTCATCACTATCTAAAAAAGGCGAGAAAAAACACTTATATTTGAGATTTTACTTACCCTAGAAGATGACTCAGCTCCCTTGCCAAGTGCTGCACGTCTAGTCCGCTTTACAACACGGAACTGATCAGCATCCTAAGAAAAAAACATGAGCATGGGAAAAAAATAAAAAAATGTTATATGACCCAAACAAAACCAAAAAAATGGACTTGTGTCATCAACATGCCACTTACCTCAACATCCTCTCCCTGCTCAACACTCTGCACAGGTCGTGGCTGGCGATTAGCAGGACGCTTCGAGTTCTGGCGAAGAGGTTGACTTCCAGAACGCTGATTAAGGAACCAAAAGAAAACATGAAAAAAAGACATTAGCATACATGCATAAGTTGAAAAACAACTCAAAAACAAAAGAAAAAAAGTGAATAAAAATACATCTCCTTCATTGCCACCCGCATCTCCTCCTATTATAACCATTTTTGCCCTGCGGAAGGAAATACAACAAAAAAACATAGTTAGAAGATGTGGACAACCAACTACTACAATCATGCAGCCAACTGGGCAGTAAACCTTGTGCAAACTGGACATCAAATAAGCCAACTAACTTTTTTCTGCCTAATTATTACTTGCCAACTGTGACAAGTAATACCTAGACAGAAAAAAGTTAAGTAAAGGCAACAAGCTCAGTGAGATAACTTATTCTGAAAAAAGCGTCCCTAGTTGAACATGAAGGGAGACACATGAAAACAACCACATCCACAACAAAAGACTTGCACATTGAGAAAAATTAAAAATGGAAAAATTGGCAAGCATTGGTACTAATTTGCACAAATCAAGGGGTCCTAGTTGCACAAAGCAGAAGAATAACACATAAACCACCACAGCCACCACAACGCTGGTGGATTGGGTAGATTATATTGGAAAATTGGCAAGCATTGGTGCTAAAATTGTACAAACAAGAGTCCCTAGTTGCACACAGCAGAGGGGGGAACAACCAACTAGTAAAAGTGTATAACATATGCAACTAAGTAAAACCAACTAAGTAGAGCAACTGGCACAAGTGTATAACATATGAATAGCCAACTTGGTAAAAGTGATGCAGCCAACCGAGCAGGCAACTTGTGCAACTGAACACAGTATAGACAACCACCTAGTACAAAAACAGTGAGCCAACTGACCAAAACAACTGCTGCAACTGCAGAGCATATGGACAGCCAAGTACTATATGGACGCAGCCAACTGAGGAGAATTTTTTGCAACTAACCACTTAAATCTCTGAACACCAACTACGAAATCAGCCAATGCATTGCACACAAAAACAGTGAGCCAACTGACCAAAAACAACTGCTGCAACTACAGAGCATATGGACAGCCACGTACTATATGGACGTAGCCAACTGAGGAGAATGTTGTGCAACTAACCACTTAAATCTCTGAACACCAACTACGAAATCAGCCAATGCATTGCACACAACATTGCGCACATCTAATACAACTTACAGAATAACTAAGAATCATGAACACATCTCAAATCTCTGCAAAAAATTGAACGGAACATGAAGTAAACAGCCAAATCGCCCCTAAAATCGCGCAAACGGGGACTACACGTTGACCCTGTCCAGCCACCCCCGTGCCGTGAACTACGCCTCCAACGATTCCCCCGCGAGGAGAACCACCCGCAAGCCGTCGCCAACCTGAGCACTCCGCCGCGACGCCCCGTTCGGTGGAGAGGATGGCGAGGAGGAAGACGAAGACGGAATGGGGAGAGAACTCGCTGTGGCGAGGGATTTCAGGCCACCTTGTAGATCCCGACCACCGTTGGGCGCGTGCTGCGAGATGGGAGAACGGAACTCAACGTGACCAAAATCGAAGATAAGCGGGGGTAGTTCGCGCCGTTCCCGAACCCTAGAGAGCATTCCCCTCGCATTTCGGCACCATCCGCGCCCCGCGAGATAGAGAAAGGGAGGAGGAGCACGTAGAAGTGGAGGGAGAGCATACCTCCGGCGGCGAGGAGCACCAGCGATTCCCCGGCGAGGAGAACCACCCGCAAGCCGCCGTCAAATCTGAGCACTCCGCCCGCCACGCCCCGTTCGGTGGAGAGGATGGCGAGGAGGAAGACGATGAATGAAGGACGGGAGAGAGGGCACGCTGCGGCGAGGGATTTCAGGCGCAGATTTCGAAAACCGCCGCCCACGACCCCCACTACTCTCTCCTCTACCACTTACAGGTGGGCCTCCCACGTCCGGATGCGGACAAAACCGCCCACGACCGCGGTGCGCGACCAATCCAGACCAGGTGGCACCTGGCGGATCTGGGAGCGATCGCTCGCGCGATCGAACGGCCACGGGCCGGCCGCCCGTTTCGGTCAGTTAGTGGCCGGCCGCTTTTTAGACTTTAGGCACTTTTTATCACAAGAAGAAGAGAGGGTGTGTACGGTCCTTGGTTTGAGCAGATCCGGCATGCACGTCTGTCTGCACACTTTGTGTGCTGGGCTTTGGGTTGTTGCCGTGGTTGAACCAGACAGGGCAGGATCCCCTAGCTGTGGACGGCCTTGCATGCACTTGTCTACTTTCCTTCCTTCCTCCCCACGCGGGAAATCTTGGCATCATGCTATGCTGCTGCAGCCGATCCGCCCGACGCAGACGATGCAGATGCGCGGCAGTGTAAGTCATACGTACACAACTGTAGGCAACAAGTTGGCGTGTTGTGGTGGTGTAGGCCGCTTCCGTGCACAACGGAAAGCCTACCTAGCCCGGAGACCCGTCAGGCCTTGTCCAGCTAGCTGCGGCCGTTGAATCGAACGGAGTTCAGTTCAGATAGCCTCTTCTCATCTCCGGGCTAAAAGTGATTATGCTGATGCGTCGTAGCTGCCGTTTTGATTGATTAAATAAGGAATTGCTAATGCTCAATCAGCCGAGATTTTACACGAATTATTGTTGGGATAAATGCACGTCCTGCGTTCATCGTCGAGCCAAAATAGAGTGATCCCGTGGTGTTCCCTTCCACTCCCGGCAATCTTATTTCGTACTGTACTACATAAAGTGAAAGTGGTAGTAGTATAGCTAGCCGAAGGCGGAGCTTTTGCTTTGTGTCAGGAGGAGGCCACTCGAGTGGTCTTGCTGTTGCCTTGCTGTGTTGGCTTTGAGAGGAAGCAGACAAGCAATGCCAGGAACCTGGCTGAAGGAACACCACTCGGCCGGCCCCCGGATCACACACCCTGCGCCGGCCGGCCATGCGGCGCCTAGCGGACAAGGTGACCAGCGCCACTCGCCCCCAGAGACGCAGGAAGGCAAAGGAAAAAAAGGCGTTGCTTTTCTTTTACGGTGCACTGCAGCACTGGATGGAGGCGCTTCGACAGGATAGCCGCTCTCGGCCTTGTACTCCGATCACCGTCGTGCGGCATGTGATGCGTGCAAATATGTCGGGGCACTGCATTTGAGCGCCTAAACGGCATTCCCGGTGGCTTTTACGTGCATGCACCTTGGCCTGTAATATGGCTTGATGGTATCACATGCGTGTCACTTCATTCCAAAGTTCGGTTTTCTATGGAGCCCAGCTAGTTTAGTAGATATAGCGTTTTTGTTTTGACAAAAGGAGAGAGTAGATTGTTGGCAAGTACTATTAGTTCCAGCAGTACTGAGTGGTGAGCTATCTCTCAAAAACAATGAACAATATAGATAGATAAATCTTACCGCTGACACGCTGTAAAATCGGCGAAGGTAACTACTAGGAGTACAGACAAGGCCAAAGCAGTGGGTCCCACAGGTAAAAGAGAAAAGGAAAGAGAGGAGTCGAGGTTGGTACTAGCTGGAGGCGGAGGGTGGACGGCGTCGCTCTCGCGCAAAGCGTGCGGGCGAGGGCAGGGGAGGGAAGCCGATTCGATTCCGGCAGCGGCAGGCCCGAATGGAAAGCGAAAGCAAAGGCAAGATGCTGGAATTTAATTAGGTAAAACCGGGCGGGTGGGGGACACGTCGCCGACAGCCCGGCGACACCCACGTGCTCCCGGCTTTATCGCCTTGTCCCCCCTCCCGTACGCTTTCGCCGCTGGTACACGCCTTTGCCGGATCGGTGATGGAGGGCACCGGGCCGTCGGATCGGGATCGGGCGGCGCGGCGGGGCCGAGTGGACCTGCAGGGTGGCCAACCGGCAGCCCGGGCCCACGCATGGAAAAACGGGCGGCACGAACGTTAATGCTGCACCACCCCCACCCCCCACCGCTGGATGGATGGACAAGGACGATGATGACCCGATTTCTCTGTTTCTTTTATTTACAATTACAAAAAATATAAAAATATCCCCGTGGGAATGGGGATTGCGTTTGGAGAAATCCAAGGAGGTGCGAATTTACGTTATGGACCCCCGCGACTCGGAGGGATGGAGCAAAGTTGATAAGTCTTGGACTGGAATGCAAATATCAGTTGGAACTGGCATCGCGATGAAAAATTGTGCGTAAAACCCAAGGTCACGAGCAGAGCTCCGAGTGTCAGAGCGCCAATGGCCGACACGTAATTAAACCCCCTCGACGACCGGTAGACCGCACCCACCTATAACCTCCTCTCCTCTCCGCCCCACCTCGCAGAGCCGCCGCCTGTGACCGACCGGAGAGCCAGACGACAAACCGAGCCCACCGCACCCACACCAGCACCAGCACCAGCACCAACTCCTCCTCCTCCTCTTGCGCGGCTGCAGCTGCCGGCCATGTCGGTGGAGACGGAGCGGAGCTCCACGGAGTCCTCCGCCGCCTCGGGCCTCGACTTCGAGGACACCGCCCTAACCCTCCGCCTCCCCGGCTCCGACCCCGACCGCAAGCGCGCCTCCACCTCCGACCCCGACTGCCCCTCCCCGACCGCCGCCGCCTCCGACTCTCCCCCTTCCCCCAAGTACGCGCGCGTGCCTTGCCTTCTCTCGCTCCTTCCGTCTGAAATTTGGCGCCCATGCTTTTTGAGCTGACATGGTCTCGCTGTGCAGGGCGCAGGTGGTGGGCTGGCCACCGGTGCGGTCGTTCCGGAAGAACGCCCTCGCGGCCGCGGCCTCGTCCAAGACCAAGTTCGTCAAGGTGGCCGTCGACGGCGCGCCCTACCTGCGCAAGGTCGACCTCAAGGCTTACGCGGGCTACACAAGCTCTGCCTCCTACGACCAGCTCCTCGCCACGCTCCAGGACAAGTTCATCTCCCACCTCACCGTCCGTGAGTGCACCGCCGCGACATGCCATGCCTGTGTCTGTGTGTTAGCTACGTGTTGCTCGCTCGTGGGTTCTGACGATTTGACTGTGGATGCAGGCAAGCTTGGGAACGAGGAGATGAAGCTCGTGGACGCGGTGAGCGGGACGGAGTATGTGCCGACGTACGAGGACAAGGACGGCGACTGGATGCTCGTCGGAGACGTCCCCTGGAGGTGAATTTTTTTGGGCCTTTTGTGCTACTTTACAGTTTAAATCCGCATGTCGCTGCATCTCCTGTTGCTCCTCAGCTATGTCCTTTTGTTTAAGTTCATATATACACTGCTTAATTAGGGTCATGGGTTGAATCGCTAACTGATCAGGTGCTATAGCATCTCAGGTTCAGAAATCTGGATGGTTTGGTGATCGTGCGTTGTTAGTTTCAGTTTATCTTTGCTTGAGAAACGATTAATTTGGGTTTAATGAGTTGTTGATCTGGTAGTGATATATAAGGAACTCGGACCGGGGGGCTGAACATGAAAATTTCTTACACTGTACCAAGGGATCACGAGATTGCTCCTGGTTTTCACTACTATCTGTTTAACTTAGGATCCATGCCAATTGTTCTTAGTCTGTATATTTTGTATGAGTCGTGGATCCTGCTAGTTAAACAGAAATCTCAGAAAAACTTAAAAGAGATGTAAAATGATTAGCGGCGAGTGATGCTCATAAATTAATTTCACATGCGTGAATTCAGCTGTTCAGTTTCTCGGACATGATTAGGGTTGAAACTAGTGTAGGAGCACTGATATTTGTTTCTGACAGCAAGCCATTTTCCTTGCTTTCAAACTCACAGAAGACAGAAGTGTTGATTGTCTCTTGTGGAAATGGATCTTCTTACCATCCTGTGCTGTTTCATGTGTAATGTGAATTGAATGGCTTAGGGAAACAGGACAATAACTGAGAATTGTGCCTACCAGCTCTAGTTTTGGCCACATTTTCCTCCAGACTTTTGTATCTATTAGCCGTGCCTCACTTACAGGAGTGCGCTCTTTAATTCATTTTCCACAGTGTACTCTTATTGTATTAGGAGGGCTCAACAAACTTTCTGTTTGAGAAGAAATTAACAAGTTGAACTTTGCTGCATCTTACCACTATCAGATAACCATGTGCTAAATATAAAAGAATTTGGTTGCTTGTTCTTGTTATTAGATTTCGGGCTTCATTATGATTCTGTAAAAGGTTGGCTCTAATATGGTACTGATCTGCTATTATTGACCTGCAGAATGTTTGTGGAAACCTGTCAGCGCATTCGTCTCATGAAAAGCTCTGAGGTCGTCAATCTAGGTACACATAACTCCTCTGACCTTGTTTTTCAGACTAGTGGAACTTATTGTTTTTGTTGTAGATCAACTCAATATTACTGGATAAATCTGGCTGCTCTCTTCTACCTGCAGCACCAAGAGCTGGTCGGTGAGGCACAATCCTTGCTCCTTTTTCTACAGACCGCTTCAGAGGAAGAAATGTCTTTGCTCAGTGAGGTTCTTCCGCAAGTTTCCGAGAGAGAAATGTGTACAGCCATCTCTACTTTTTGCCCAGCACGCTATTGAGTTCAGAAAGTGTCGTAGCTTGTAATTCCACTACCAGTCAGTCAGTAGTATCTACATGTAAGATGAGAGGTTGTGATGCTTCAGAAATACACCTGCAGTTCGTTCTTGAAAAATAAGACTGCAGTCCCTGTTCTCCCGAGCTGCTTGCTACTGGAGCATGGTTTTGTGTAACTTTATGCAAGTGAGGCACCTGGTACAAGAGTCATATAATGCGTCAATTTTCCTACAAGTTTTGTGCTGTGATTTTGCTATATTATGTACTCCTTCCGTTACTAAATATAAGTCTTTCTAGATACTGCATTCCAATATGGATTACATACGAAGCAAAATGAGAATCTACACTCTGAACTACGTCATTCCAATATGGATTACATATGGAGCAAAATGAGAATCTACACTCTAAACTATGTCTATATACAAATATGTAGTTTATATTGAAATCTCTAGAAAGACTTATATTTTATTGAAATCTCTAAAAAGCAT